CTCTCTAGGGTTTCTGAGGCCGTCCATCAGTTACAGGGCCGTCCAAGTCAGTTACAGGCGCAGACAGCCTCATTGTCCCCCATGGAGTGGCTGGGGGCTTTGAGCTGTTTAGCTTGTGGTTTGCAGTCCAGTGCCACCTGGGAATGTGTTTTTCTTATGTTGTTAAGTCAGTTCTGTGGAGCAGCTGGTGGGTGTGAAGCACTGACATTGCATTTCAACTGAACTTGGGGCCCATTCAGTGCTTACTCGACAGCGCCACACCAGAAGTCCTTGTTGTGTTAGTGAACAGCTTCATTGTAAGGGGTGTCTTAAGTAGACCTTTTTGAGATATGTTGTTGTTGTTAAGTGCTGTTGAGTCGGTTCCAACTCATAGTGACCCTGTATAGGGTTTCCTAGGAGTGGCTGGTGAGCTTGAACGGTAGACCCTATGGTTCAAACCGACTTTGCAGTCCAGTGCATTAACTTGCAGTGCCACATTATATCTCAAGTTAAGCAAGCAAGTAGAGGTGGGGAAAGAGAGAGATGCCCAACCACCCAACGACTGCCCAAGAGCAGTCAAGGGTCCTCTTCCAGAGCCAACTGAGAGAAAAGGCATTCCCGTAGAGCTGTTACCTTGAAGTGGGACTTCTAGCTTCTTTATTGCAAATAACTAAATTGCTGTGTGTTAAAGTTACCCATTCGTGGCACTTCTGTCATAGTAACACTCAATAGAGCCCTGGTGTGGTGCTGTAGGATCAGCACAGGACTGGTAACCATAAGGCTGGCAGTTTAAATCCAGCAGCCACTCCTTGGACACTCTTTACAGGGTTTGCTATGAGTCAAAACCAACTGAGTGGCACACAACACACAGAGCTAGTTAACTAAAACAGACAAGAAGTACCCACTTAATATTTTGGTTGCCACTTAAATTGAATTCAGATCAAACTGTAACTTGTATTTGGTTCCTTACACTTTTCTTGAACTTGCAGTTTTCTTGTACACATGACCTCATTCACAAGTTGTTTCCTTGCTTCCTTTTCAAGTTTCAGCTCCCTGTCCTTCTCAGCCAACCTCTTCTGTTTCTCTTCCTCTATTATCCTGTCCAATTCTTTCTCCTGAGCTCTCTCTTCCTCATGTCGCTGTGCCATATACTCATTATATATCTTCTGTTCTCTTAGCATATCCTCCTACAGAACATAAAGATGGATTCATATTATGAAACATTTTAGGTGTGATAGTGATAATACGTTTTTTAAAACAAGACCCAGTCTTTTAGAGCTATATAAATATGAAACACTTACAGATGAAATATTATAATAGGGAGTGGGGAGTAAGTAGGGTAAAGATGAAATAAGATTAGCCATTCCTTGAAGGTTTTTGGAGCTAGGTTATGGGCATATTGTACTACTCTGTTTCTGTTTTGAAATGTTTTATAATGTATTTTTAAATAAATGAATTTACTAAATCAAATTAATTTTTAAAATTAATTCCAACACTTTTCCAAAGTGTTCCTAAATACTCAGCAGTGATACATTTTCATTGATTTTAATTTAGGTAGATAAAATATCGATTTAATAACAAAATTCAGCAGTCCCCAGCTACAGCCTAACTTAAGTACAACTCTTATTTGCCCCTTGTTGTTGTTGTTAAGTGCCGTCAAGTTGGTTCTCATTCATAGAGACCCTGTATAGGGTTTCTGAGGTGAAGCGAGTGGGTTTGAACTGCCAACCTTGTGGTTTGCAGTTCAGTGCTGATTCTACAGCGCTACACCAGGAATTTGATTGACCCTTTAATGTAATGTAAATTTGCCTTCACTTTGAGCTAATCCTTACAACAAATTCTTCGTCACATTGCCTTCACTTACCTTCATTCATAGCTTTTAAGTCATTGGAAAAGCTTTCAGTCTTTTCTTGCACTGATGTAAGACTAAATAGAACCGTACACACCTGTTCTGACTTACCTACAAATTCTTAAAGACACAGTTAAAAATGGATCTCGTTTGTTACCCAGGGACTGCCTATAAGTCACTGTTACTATGATGTTGTTTAGTGACGTCAAGTCGGATCCAACTCATAGTGACCCTGTATAGGGTTTCTGAGGAGGATCTGGTGGGTTTGAACCACCAACCTTGTGGTTCGCAACTCAGTGCTTAGCCTACAGCGCCACACCAGGACTCCTGTACTAGGTTGTTGTTGTTATATACCATCAAGTTGGTTCCAACCCATAGCAACCTTATATTGGGTTTCTGAGGAACAGCTGGTGGGTTTGAACTATTGACCTTTAGGTTAGTAGTCCACTGCTTGTCCTATGGCACCACACCAGGACTCCAACTACTATTACAGCATTGTCTTTCTGACTAGAAGATGAATCACCTTGGAATGGCAATTCTCAATCTTAGCTATACTTCAGGATCACTTGGAGAGCTTTAAAAAAGACCCATCCCCCCAAATTCCCCAAGGAGCCCTGATGATACAGTGGTTAAATGCTTGGCTGCTAATCAAAAGGTCAGCAGTTTGAACCCACCAACTGCTCTTTGGGTTAAAAATTGACGGCCTTTGAAATTCTATGGGGCCAGTCCTACCTTGTCCTGTCGGGTTGCTGTGAGTCAGAATCGATGGCTGCAGGTTCAGCTTTGGGGTTTAAGTTCCCCAGGTGATTCTAATGCACAGCCAAGGGTGAAAACTCTGTTTCATAAAGCAGGCATTTTTAGTTGGCATCGCTGTTTTTCATGGTACGTTATGTTGGTTCTTCCAATCTTTGATCAGATCTCTTTTGATATGGCACAGATTTGAGGAAGGATTGACAGGGTTTCAGGGTGTAGCTGCACCCCATGTGAGTGAGTAATGTAGAAGTCAGTCTGGCTCGCTGCCTGTTTTTATAAATAATGTTTGGAGATCACCATCCTTGCTTGGTTATGTATTGTTTGGGGCTGCTTTCCTACTGCAGTGGCAGAGCTGAGTCATTCTAACAGACATGGTGTGTGTGGCCCCTTTACAGAAAGGTTACTGCTGCCTGCTCTAGCTCAGTGGTTAGAATGCATCAGAATCCCCTAGTCATTGTTAAGTGCCTGTAAAGGGTTTCTGAAGAGCAGCTGGTGAATTTGAATCACCAACACTGTAATTTAGTACATTAACCCACAGCGACACACAAGAACTCCAAAGGGAGGGTTGCTGTTGTTAAGTGCCATAGAATTGGTTATGACCCATAGTGACCCTGTATAGGGTTTCCAAAGAACAGCTGGTGAGCTTGAACTGCCAACCTTGTGGTTCAAATTGACTTTGTAGTCCAATGTATTAACTCACAGTACCATACTAAGACGCAAAAGGGAAGGTTGTTGTTGTTAAGTGCTATTGAGTTAGTTCTGACCTGTAAAGGGTTTCTGAGGAGTGGCTGGTGAGCTTGAACTGCCGACCTTGTGGTTTAAACCAACCTTGCATTCCAGAGCATTAACCCACAGCGCCACACCAGGACTCCAAAGTGAACTCAGGTGAATGTATAAGCAGACTGTGCTACCCCCATACCATGGAGGACTTCTTGTTGTTGTTACGTGCTGTGGACTACACAGCTATAAAAAGAAAGGGACTACTGGTGTGGCGCTGTGGGTTAATGCGCTGGACCGCAAAGTTGGTTTGAACTGTAAGGTCAGCGGTTCAAGATGGTTCAAGATTACCAGCTGTTCCTCGGAAACCCTATTCAGGGTTGGCACAGACTCGACAGCACTTAACAACAACAACTGATGAATATCCAGCATTCTGCTGAGTGAAAAATGCCATCCTGAAAAGGTTACGTGCTGTACGTGAACTTCACTTATAGAGCATTCTTGAACTATTACAGAAATGGAGACAGATGAGTGGCTGTTGGGGTAAAGGAGGGGAGGAGGGCAGTGGGTGGGCCCTAGTGGTTGACGATAGGCATGTGGTAGAATGTCCTGTATCTTGGCTGTATCCATGTCAATATCCTGGCTGTGACAGATTATTCTGTAAGGTGTCATCACTGGGAGAAACTGAATAAAGGGTATGGGGGATCTCGCAGTATGATTTATTTCAATTACATGCGATTCTACAATCACCTCAAAATAAGAAGTTTAAGTTTTTAAAAAAGCATATATAGGAATAACACCACACTCTTAAACAGTCAACATAAATTCCAAAGCAAAAAGCAGCTAAACTAACACTAGAAGGAACGCCATTCCCTACTCTCTTTGCCTGACAAGTGTTCAGATCCTCAGGGTTCCACTTGAACACCACGGCCTCAAGGGTGCTTAGGCATTCCGAATCACCCCAGGCCATGTGACGCTGTGCCATTACAGTGCGGACCCTGGTTTTGGAACAGTGGTTCTCAAACCTCATCTGGGGAAGCTCCCCGCCCCCAGGATTGAGAGGAAGATATTCTGGGCCTGGCGTGAAGCCCATGCATTCTATTTATTGCTGATAGTTCCCCAGCTGTTGCTGGTTCCAGGACTGTTAGTACAGTATCCTTCAGTGAACCTGCACCTGAACCCCAGAGACAGGCGGTTCAACCAGGCATCTCACCATGTGGCCAGCACTAATACTTTTCTTAATCTGTTTCTGTTTCCTTTTGTCAAATGAATTTAAAGATCTTACCTTCTTTTGCTTCTTTTTATCGGCCTCTTCCTGTAAGTCTTGAAGGGCCTTTTGCACAAGCTTCATGTTCAAGTCCTGCTCTTCTCTGTATTCCTGCTGAATATGACGCATCTTCTCTTGGAGGGCTTTTTGCAAAAAGGTCCTCATTTCCAGCTTTGTCTTCTGTTTTTTCAGCTTCTCTGCTTCATTCTCAAGTTTCACCTGTGCACTATCATTTTCCTAAGGGAGAAGGAGAATGAGCTTTCTCAGCCCAAGTAGATAAAACAAGCAGGTTACCACATTTAGAGAGGATAGAGAATTTCGTGGAAACACACACATGACCTGGATCTAGAGAGGATATTAATACAGATCACTAAACCTTGCCTTTTCGTTGCTAAGCCAGCAATCAGACTTTGTGGAGATTGCTCTGTTGATTGTGTGTGTGTGTGTGTGTGTGTGTGTGTGAAAGAGAGATTATGGGGTTCAGAAAATGCAGGGAGTCTAAAGAGAGATCACCTTTAATCCCACCCCATCACCCACCACCCCTCTCAACATTTTGGGGCACTGGTCTCCCAGGATTTATTCTTCTATGCACAGCTAGATTTGGATACATTATTAAGTAGCACTGTGCTGGACTGCAAAATCGGTTTAAACCGCAAGGTTGGTGGTTCAAGCTCACCAACCACTCCTGGGAAACCCTATACAGGGTGGTCGCTATGGGTTGGAACCAACTCAACGACACTTAACAACAACAATAAGAGTTTAAAAATGAAAATGTGCACTTGAGCTAGCTCTACAAAGTTAAGCATGAAACTTTAAAAAAAAAAAAAACGTTTTGCCACCCCTTCCATTTTCTGATCTTTCAACTCCTCCTGGCTGGATTAATTCTCTGGTCTATCAGGCAGTTTGAACTTGGGCTCTGTGGGTTTGGTACACTCTGGGTATGGTGTAAATGCAGGCATTAGCCCTCCTAGCAGGGGTCGCTGAGCCCTCTTGGGGAGCATGGCCCGGCAGCTGAAACACATGGCTTAAAGCTATAGGGAGGATGGGACACAATTTCCAAGATGACTTGATTTCACCAAGATTCAGAATAGTTATGATCACTGTGAGGACTTGCTTGTGAGAGGGAAGTTATATGCTAGACTTTTCCATTAACGTCAGGACCCGTAAATCCTCACATGAGATCATGGAAGTGAACGTGCTCTACAGTAGCTACAGAAAAGCCACTTGGACCACAGGCTGTGCTCTTAAAGGAGAGGCTGACTACTAGGATCAAAAGGGTGGCATTGTTCTGAGGACACAATTCAGAAAGGTGGGGAAAGAAGGAGGCATGCAGACAAGAAGCACAGGGAGGAAGTGGGGTGAGAGACTGTACACTGAAAGGGCTGAGATTAGTGAGATGAAGTGGAGCCTGGGAATTGTTGAATGGAAAGTTGATGATCTTCTGTGTAAACCTTCATTCAAACACAATAAAAAGTGAAAAATAGCTAAATAGGTAACAAATACAATGGGAGGTTGAACACACCAGGAGGAAACAATTAGCCAAACCCAGAGTATGAAATAAGTGGTAATGCGAAGAAGTAGAATTGTTCCAAGTTTAAAAGGAGTCTCCAAGTAGTTGACCACATGTCTTGGTTTGGCCAGGATGGTTCTGATTTTACACTTGTGGTTTTATACCTGTATCGCCTCGACGACTTTGGACTTGCTTTGGTTTGGTTTGGTTTGGTGCTGACATTGTGAATTAACACCCTACTGGCATCTAGTTGATCCCGACTCACAGTGACCCTGTACAGAGTTTCTGAGGCTGTGAATCTTTACGGGAGCAGCCAGCCTCCTCTTTCTCTCACGAATTAAATACTCCACTTTCAATCTCAAGAAGAAGCCTTGTGGTGCCATGATTTAAACACTCATCTGCTGATCGAAAGACCCGTGGTTGAAGCCCACCAGCCGCTGGCCAGGAGAAAGATGTGGCAGACTGGGACACCCTACTGGGCAGTTCTACTTGGTCCTACAGGGTTCCTGGGAGTCGGCATTAACTCCACAGCAGTGGGTTTTTGTTTTGGGTTTAGTTTATCCCTAAAAGAAAGAACCTTAGTGATGCAATCGCTAAGCATTTGGCTGCTAACCAAAAGTTTGGTGACTAGAACCCACCCACTGGCTCTGCAGGAGTAAGACCTGCCAACTGGGTACCTGTTAATGATGTGGCGCTGGGGGTTAATGCACCAGATGCAAAGCCGTTTGAATTGCAAGGTCGGCGGTTCAAGCTCACCAGTTGCTCCTCGGAAACCCTATACAGAGTCACTATGGGTCAGAACCGACAGCACTTAACAACAACAACGATTACAGACTAGCTTAGGGAACAGAGAGTGCCTGTCGGTGGTAGAGGAATGACTCAGAACCATTTTCACCTGAATGCACAATATGAAGACTGTCATTAATACAGCTGACCTGTACAAGCAGAAACTCCTGAATTGGTGTAGGATATGCACTGGACTGCTAACCACAAGGTCAGGAGTTCAAACCCACCAGTAGCCCTCAGAAACCTTATCAGGGTCACTATGAGTCGGAACTGACTGGATGGCACTTAACAACAACAACTCATTATGTATATTTTCAACAACAAAAGTAAGTGTTTAAGAAAACTTTGTTGATGTTGTTAAGTACTGTTTAGTCGGTTCAACTCATTATGACCCTGTATGGTTCCCAAGGAGCAGCTGGTGGCTTTGAATCGCCTACACGGTGGTTAGTAGTTCAGAGCTTAGCCTACAGCACTACATTACAGTTTAGACAATCTTGCGAGGCCTGCTGCTCAGTCACATGGAGTATCTATGAGTCAAAAACCAACTTGATAGCACCTAACAACAACTTCCTAAAAAGATTTATTTATAAGTTGTAAGAAGGCTTTTGGATTTTGGATCGTCATTTAAATATAATTCAGGCAATGATTAACATCTGATGCTGATTTCAGATGATTGCAGTGTTTAAGAAAAATGTCCTTATTGCTATTGAGAGGCATACTTGAGATGTGTTTTAGAGGTGAAATGACCTAATGTCTGAAATTTGCTTTAAAACATAAAAATGGGGGAGTGCGGGCAGTGGCAACAGGCCTACAAACTGTGCCTGCGCATGCGCACAGTCGAAGCTTGTGTAACACACAAGTGGAGGACCCACCAATAGGCGCGCCTCCTCTTCCTTTAGCAGCTTCGCCGCCTGCCTTTGCGCCAGCAGAGCGGTGATCTGGGCGTTGAGCCCCAGACGCGTGTTCTCCACCTGCTCCCTCTGCCTCCTAGCCTCCTGGGCTGCTCGCTGCTCCTTGGCTAACCGATCTTCCTCCCAGAGCTTTGCGAACATCTGCTCTTCCACCAGCTTCTGCCTCTTCCTCTCCTCGTTAAATGCTATCTGTGCTTTCCGTTCCTCACACACCTTCTTTTGGTGAGTACTGAACAATTCCTGGCGAAGCTCGTCACAGCGTTCCCTGGGTGAGGAATGAAAATTTATAAGGAGAAAAAAAAAAAGTCATATCCCAGTCTTTCAGGAGGCACTGCGCTATTTAGACACATACTTGCGCGATCACATGCTGAAAGAGAGAAAAGAAAGAGCTGCTTGTGAACCCTCTGAGCAGAAATCTCTGAGGGAGCTGCAGAGAGCAGACACCACAGCATGACAGACGAGACACAGGCCTGGAAGTCGGCCTGAACAAGGCTTGAGTCCTAGTTTTGCCCGTTCCTGTATGACCTTCGATCAAATTCTCATCCTATCTGAGCTGGCTTCCTTACCTGCCAAATAACGACCTTGAAGGTGCTGGTAGGGATTAAATACCTGGTAGGTAATAAACCCACTGCCATGGAGTAGAGTCTGACTCACAGGACCCCAGAGGACAGAATAGAAGTAGCCACCGTGTTACCACGGCTCTATGGCTCAAACACGACAACTGTGAGGCTCATACAGAGGCGGCGCTGTTTCCTTCTGTTGTGCAGAGGATCACTATGAGGCAGAGCACACTTGACAGCACCAACATCAACAGACTTGGTGGAAAGAGCTTATCCTGAGAAGAAGCTGGTTCAGTTCCAACCCGGTCCACCTTTGGGTTAACAACCAAGAGCATTAACTACTGCATCCCTAGGGCTCCTTTAGTAGACAGTGGTGGTGGTGGTTGTGTGCCATATAGGACTTCCGAGGCTATAAATCTTTATGAGAGCAGAAAGCCTCATCGCCGGGGAGAACCCCGGAGTAGCTGGTGAATTCAAACAGCTGCCTTTGCAGTTTGCAGTCTAGTGAGTAACCCACTGTGCTACCAGGGTTCCTTTCAGTAGATAATAGAGTTTCAATAAATGGAAAGCGATGGACAGAAAAGTCAGTTTGAACCACAAGTTTGGCAGTTCAAACTCACAAGCCACTCCTTGGAAATCCTATACAGGCACACTATGACTTAGAATCAACTCAAGGGCACTAAACAACAACAACAGCAATTTTTATTACAAGGACTCCTGGTGTGGCGCTGAAGGATCAGCACTGGACTGTGAATCACAAGGTAGGCAGTTCAAACCTACCAGCTGCTCCTCAGAAACCCTATACAGGGTCACTATGAGTCGGAACTGACTCTACAGCACTTAACGTCATTATTACTAAGAAGCCCTGGAAATAAAAGCTGGAAAGAGACAAGGATGTTCCCCCAAGAGTAAATAGAAGAGAGAGCCTTTCCCTAGACAAAGCCCTGAATTTGGACTTGCAGCCTCCTAACCTGTTAGAAAATTCATTTGTTTCTTAAAGCCATTCCACCTATAGTTCTGCTAAAGTAGAACAAGAGAACTAAGACAGTGATGTGAACACTAGAGAGAATTCTTTCAGAGGATTACCCTTGGGTACATCAATATAAATATTCCCTCTGAGATTATTCTCAGAGCAAGCTGGGGGACGGTAGAAACCCCACTGAATTGTTTTCACCTTATCTAGATGGGTCTGGTGAAAGGACATGGGGCTAGGATTCTATTGATTCAATAGTGAGTAACTGTTATCATGACTAATTTAGATCGTCACAAGTGTAAAGGCAGATGTTGCATGACAAAAAGGGGGGAGTAGTTAATCTTGCATTCCAGGAACCAAGGACCCTAGGACCATCAAGAGGGAAAAGCATGAATGGAACATGGGATCCTAACTAGAGAAGCAGGGACACCAGAGATGGAGGCAGAGCCTGGAGAGAGAGAGAATCTGAAGACTCTAGAATCATGGAAAGAAAAAGGCTGTGTGCTGACGGACAAGGGGCTGGTTTGCAAAATGTGCTCTTCTTTAAAAGATTATATATTCATGTGTGTTATTGTGTACATTAAAAAAAAGATAATAGAGGCAAATACTGTTAACGGATGGCGCATAGAGGGGATTGTAATTATTGCAATGAAACAAAATATGATTGGCTGAGTGCAAATCTGATGTTCTCCCATGTATACTATCATTCAATTCACAATAAAAGCTTTTTTCTTAAAAAAAAAAGTTTCCTATATCAGAGACGATGTGTTGTAAAATGAGCTCCCAATAAAATTATTTTTGCTTATGACTAGTAAGTAAATAAATAAATATTCCTTAAGCACAGGGTTGGAATCATGGCATAGACTCAGGTGTCCCAAAATGAAAAACCCTGGGAGAGACAACCATGAATTGGGCTGTCTGAGCACACTCAAGGCCAGGGTCACCATAAAGTGGGTCAGAATCCAGGTAATCAGACGCCAAGATAATAAATGGGACCAAGCACGGATTCCGTAGGTGCAGGTGAGGCGCAGAGCAGTAGGAAAGGAGAGCCCAACTCTACCAAAGACTCCATGGAACGGGGCCTTAACGGAACTTCTTGCCAAATCAAGGCTAAGGCTGGTACCCAGAATTCAGGCATCGAGTCTAATTTGGTACTTCCATTCTCACTGAGAGGCAAGCACAGAACCCTAGACAGAGCATGACAAATGGAGCATCTGCATTATTCAATGGCATGTATACAATTACTAACACTTAAAGGCACAACTTCTATGTATACCCTCTTGAGGCTATAATTTACTGTCATTAGCATTTGCAATTTTTTTTTTTTTTAACAAACCAACTCCATATCAGATTCTATGTGTGTTTTTCTATTACCTGAATTGCTGATCTAGCTTTTCAGCCACAAAAATCTGTTTCTCTTTTTCTTTCTTCTCTTTTAATAATCTGGCTTTCTCTCTCATTCTGTCTTTTTTTACCTCAATCGTTTCTTCCTTCAATTGCATTTCAGTAAAATATTCATTTTCTTCTAATGCTAAAAGTTCACGTAGCCTGAAAGCAAAAAGACAAAAAAAGAGAGAAAGAAATTAAAACAATAATGCCATGTGCCCCAAATTACTAACTGCTTTTTGTCTTGTAATATTCAGTCTTGGATATGGCCCATCATAAACTTTGTAATAAGGAAAAGATGCATCTTAGTCATACATAAAATGCACTTTGTTATTGTTGCTACAAAGTGTTGCTGAGTTGGTTCTGATTCATAGCGACCCAGTATAAGGTTTTTGAGGAATGTCTGGTGAGTTTGAACCCTTGATCTTGCTTTTCAAATGGGCTTTGAAGTCGAGTGCTTATCCTATGGTGCCAAACCAGAATTCCTAGTTACCATTTAAAGTAACAACGTATCTCATCTGAGACATATATATTTTATTTGTTCATATATGTTGTTGTTAAGTGCTGTAGAGTCGGTTCTAACTCATAAGTACCCTGTATAGGGTTTTCAAGAAATGGCTGGTGAGTCTGAACCTCCGACCTTGCAGTTCAAACTGACCACACAGACCAGCACATTATCCTGTAGTACCACACCAGGTGAAATGTACATATTAAAACAAAAGGAATAAAATGAGTAGATTTTTAAAGTGAAAAAATATGAAACACCCCCTGTAAGACTGAAACTCAAAAGGGAACACATGAGTAGGCACGCAAGCTTGCTGGTGACCACATTGTTCTACTGGTGAGTGGAAGAGGGGGAAAGGCAGCAATGAAGACATGGGCTGAGCTCAACCACATTCCATAGACTCCCATTGACCTGGAGATGAGAGAGAGAAGGGGAAGGGCTGGTTGGTCCAAAGTGTGCTGAGACCTGGGGACACCTGAGCCTATGGACAAGGACATAGTCACAGAGGGCTATAGCTGAGAATGAAGCATCCGGCTGTATGAAGGGAGGGGAGACACATAAGAACACCCAAACTTGCAGATAGTACCCATCTGACCAAGCTTTCATGGCTTGATAATCAGAACTCGATTAGAGGAAGATAAAAAACAACAATTTTTGATAAAGGAAATGAGTGTAAATTGCTACAATTTGACGAACTTGACATATGCTCATGGAGGTAGTAGCTCAAAATATCAACAGGGAGGGAAGGAGTCTTCATATCACGTATCAATGCTATTCCTCTGTACACAGGGTAGACAGGGATAGGCAACTTAGACATTGGCTACCTAAAATGAGGGGGCGATAAAGGCACAAAGTGACTGGCTTACAAGGGACGATAGAGACCCTACTGAATAGTTTTCATCTTGTCTGGTTAAAAGAGATGGGGATAAGATTCTTATAATTCAATAGTGAGTAACTGTTATCAAGACTAATTGTGACTATCACAATTGTAAAGGCAGAAGTTTTGTAACAAAAACGGGGGAGTGGTTAATCTTACAGTCCAGAAACAGAGGATCTTAGGATCATTGAGGGAGAAGAGCGCAAGCAGAATGCAGGACCTTATCCAGAGAAGCAGCAGCGCCAGAGATGGAGGCAGAGGTGGGGACATGGAAAGAGGGACTGGGAGCTGGTGGCCAGGAAGCAGGCTTGCAGCATGTGCCCTTTGGTGGTGTAAATTATTATATATGCCTGAGCGTTCAAAAAAAAAAAAAAAAAAGAGCTAAAATGAATAGAAATACTGTTAACTGGTGGGGATTATAATCATTGTAATGAAAACAAAGTATGTGATTTGTTGAATGTAAAACTGGTGATCTGCACGGTAAACTTTCACTCAATTCACAATAAAAACTTTAAAAAACAAAACACAAAAAAAATGAAATAATATATACTTTGATTTCCCATCAAAATACCAGTTAGCGTGAAAATATTAAGCAGTAGCTACTGATTTGGTAAGAAGTCCTAGTGGTGCAGAAGGTTAAGCTTTGGGCTGCTAGCCACAAGGTTGGTGGTTCAACCCTACCAGCTATCCATGGGAGAAAGAGGAAACTATCTGCTCTCTCTTGTAAAGAGTTAGTCTCAGAAACCTCCTCTGTTCTACAGGGTGGCTATGAGTCAAAGCCAATTTGGTGGCAGTGGGTTTTCACTGATGTGATTTGTAGGCATTGGTAGTTCAGTAGTAGAATTCTTGTCATTCATGTGTAAGACCTGGGTTCAATTCCTGATCAAGGCATCTCAAGTCAGCTACCACCCATGTATTAGTGGAGATTTGTGTGTATCTATGATGCTGAACATCTACAAAAGCTGGACAGTGAATAAGGAAGATCGTAGAAGAATTGATGCCTTTGAGTTGTGGTGTTGGAAGAGAATACTGAAAGTGCCATGGACTGCCAAAAGAACCAATAGATCTGTTTTGGAAGAAGTGCAGCCAGAGTGCTCCTTGGAGGCCAGGATGGCTAAGCTTCGTCTCTCATACTTTGGACATATTGTCTGGAGGGAACAGTCGCTGGAGAAGGATGTCATGCTGGGTAAGGTGGAGGGTCAGAGAAAAAGAGGAAGACCCCTAACGAGATGGATTGGCCAGGTGGCATCATTGATGAACTCAAATGTGGCAGTGGTAGTGAGGTTGGCCCAGGATCGGACCTTGTTTCGTTCTGCTGTGCATGGAGTCGCTATGAGTCGGTTCCGACCCGATGGGACCTGACAACAACAACATGATGCTGAACAGGTTTCAATGGAGCTGACAGACCAAGATGGAGTAGGATAAAAGGCCTACCAGTCTAACTTCTGAAGATCAGCCAATGAACCCTGACAGATCACAACAGTCCAATTAATTCACAGTCGATCATGGGGATAGAGCAGGGCAGGACAGCACTTCATTCCATCATGAATCAGGGCTGACCTGATGGCTGCTAGCAACAAACACTGATTTGGTGAACATCTCAGTCAGGGTCCTTACTATCAAAATTCACTTGATTTTTGATTGGCTAATCTCAACTTAAGGAGCTTAGGTAGCATAGTGGTTACGAATTAGGCTGCGAACCTCACGGTCAGCAGTTTGAAACTACCAGCTGCTCCGCGGGAGAAAGATGAGGCTTTCTGCTCCCGTAAAGATTTACAGCCTCGGAAACCCTGTACAGGGTCACTATGAGTCAGAACAGACTCCACGGCACATAACAACAACAACAATCTCAACTTAAGGAGCTCTAGTAGCGCAGTGGTTACGAATCGGGCTGCGAACCGCAAGGTCAGCAGTTCAAAACTACCAGCTATTCCGTGGGACTTAATGAGGTTTTCTGCTCCCGTAAAGATTTACAGCCTCGGAAACCCTGTACAGGGTCGCTATGAGTCAGAACCGACTCCATGGCACATAACCACCACCACCAATCTCAGCTTGTGGTTTCTAGGAATGTCTCATAGTCTGGGTCATTTGTGACTCTTACTTATTTCGTCTCTCTTCAGTGTTGATGATAAATCCTTGCTTGGCATCCTTGATTCTTGCTTGCACAAGGCTGTTAAAAAACTTGCGATCATTGTGTTGGTCCCAATCAACTTTCAAGCGATTCTGCTGATTTATCTTAATGGAAGTCAAGATAGCTTGATGCTTTTCATGGCTACGTTGGATTCTATCCAGATGTCTCTCAGCCACTCGGCTTTTGGGTGGTTTGGCTCTCTGCAAATAAGAAACAAGTATCACAAACCCCAAATCAGTTGTATCTTTTCAATTAATTATGACCTACATTCATACCCCTACGGAGTAAAGCTTGATACATTAAACATTAAACAATTACATCCTGCTTCAACTGAAGACAGCATAAATAACTAAGGAGTCACTTGTTTGATTCTCTGAGCTTTTTTATCTAAGCTAGCAGAAAAGTGGTCCTGTGGGTTAATGCACTGGACTGCAAAGTCG